GGCTCGTAGCCCACCACTCCCCTCCCCAAGAAAAGCATCCGAGAACGGGGGGCTGCCCTGGGGCGAGGGGTTCCCGGAGCCCCCCGGCACGCCTTCTCAACTCCTTGCTTTTCCCTGGGGACCGCAGCGAGGGTGCCTCGTCCCCGGGCAGAGCAGCCCCTGCCCCAGGTGCTGCGGTGAGCGCAGCGCGGAGCCCGGCCCTGCAATGAATCCCTCCATGGCAGCAGGAGCTGGCCCAGACCCCCTGCCCCAGCGTTTCTGTCCCGTCGTTCGCCCCTGCTGTCTCCCCTGTCCCCACCCTTGCACCATGAGCAGAGCACACATCTCCCTCACGCAGCCTCAGCAGCCTCGGTCAGACACGCGAACCGCCAAGGAGCCTTCCCGAAGGAGGAGTCGGGCGTCTGGCGAGGGGATCCAGCCTGCCGGGGTCTCTCCTGGGGTGCCGCTGGAGGAGCTGCCTTGCCCCGGAGCAGGAGCCATGGCTGCAGCACCACTCTCCAGCGAGCCTGGCTGCACGGAGGCCTGGCTGAAGGTGAATGCGTCCCCAGAGCCCTCGGCTGCACACCAGCCTTGCTCTCGGCAAGGGACGTGGGGACAAACACCATGCTCCCACCAGCCTGCTGTGACAGACCGACGCGGGGACACCGGCTCGCCCAAAATCCCAGCCTTGATCCATGCCACTCCGAGCAGGGCCAGCCCTCAGCAAGCCACCTTGCTGCCGGTCCCCACTGCCAGCCCGGGGGGCACGTCACCCGGGCTCAGGGCATTGCCTTGTGCGGGATGGGGGGAGGCCAGCCCTGGAGGAACAGCCACAGTCCAGAGAGCGGGGCAGCCATCTTGCGCTGGGCTCTGAGCCGGCTTTGCTCTGCTCCCTTCCCCTCTCCACCTGCCCCTGGCCTCTCCTACAAACCATGCACCCCTGGGACACACGGACAGACAGAAACCACCTTCTACCCCCAAGGGTGAGGTCGGGGAATGTGTCAGATAGCCCTCAGTGAGGCTGATGCCAGGACAGCACTATACAGCCCACACTTGTGTTTTCATGGCAATTGGAAAAATACAGTTTTAAAAAAATAATATCCCTGTGTTTGGTTTCAGTAGCTCAGGGCAGAGCCCCAGGCAGCTCTGGGCTGCACGAATCTGCGTGGTGCTTCAGTGTCAGACATGGTGCCCTCTCTGGGCAGTATCTCAGCCTGTCCCCATTAATGGTGTCTGGTGCTGGAAACACCGTACCAGCTGCAGGCCTGGAGCCGCGCAGGGCCCCCCCGGCCTCCCCTCGTGCCAAGCAGCAGAAATCCCAGCGCTGCAGGCTGGTTACGCAGGCCCCCAGCCTGGGCAGCGCTGCCGGCCCCCTCCAACTGCTTGTGGAAGGGAAACAAAGTCTGTGAAGCGCTGCTGAGAGACCCAGCGAAGTCTTAACTTCGTTAGCAGCTGGCACGCACCACAGAACAGCTCATTAGCAGCAGAAGTACGTTCCAAATAAAAGCCATTTCAGCAACTGCAGGAAGTAATTTGTTTAAAGCTAAAATACACTCATTTTCACCCAGGAGAAGGTCTCTCTTGCTGGGGCATACGGCTACAGCATTCAGCAGTGTCTTCTCCCTCTGCCATGCTGACAGCAGGTGGTTTTTCCTCCTTCGTGATTTCTCATCTCGGAGGCTCTGCTTTCCTTCAGGGCTGCAATGCCTTCTGCTAATTAAAGGAGTGGCAGATTCGTTAGGTCCAGCCAAGGAGCTGAGCGAGCGGGAGAGACAGGACTTGGATTGGTGATGGAAGTGAAAGCAATCACATGGAAACCAGCCTGGCCGGTGTGAGGGATCTTGGAGCACGTTATTGGACCGGCTCCCCTCCTGACACTTCAGGTCGCCACCAAAAGCCCAATGAGGAGAGCAGATGTTCCCTGTAAAACTGACATTCTGCCGGCTGACAATGTGAACAGGAAGGAGGATCCTTCCCGAAACAGAGCCAAGACCTGCGCTGGGACAGGAAAAGAGGCCAAAGCTCCTGACACGGAACATCCTCTTTGCAAAGTTTTGCTCACCATAGCAAACATTAAAAATTGGCCAATTTGAGCAAAAAGCTCCTGGACCTCACACAGGCGTTTGTACCAGCACAAACCACCACAGTCCAGGTAGGAAATTCCTTTCTGCGGGGCTGGCAGCATTTCACAGACAAGTCAACCCTGCACCCACCAGCTCCAAAGGTCAGGCGCTTCACCTGCCTCTGCAGGCTGCAGAGAGTTCGTTTTGCCACTGCCTGGCTGCTCTGGGAAGCAGCGACTCCCTGGATCTCACAGCTGAACACCCCTTCGCAGCCGACTTCGCCTCAGTGGTGTCGAGCAGACGACAAACTCGGTGGCTCAGTGTGAAGGATCAAGGCTGCTTTATTGCAAAGGTGGAAGAGTGACAAGTGCTAAAATGACAGCTGGTGGCAACATACGACTGGTAAACCACGTCCCTCCCCATTGTGGCAGAAGGAGAGAGAGTAACTTACTAACAGAGAAAATTGCTCGTTTTCACTGGCAGGGGCTCCAGGGCCACCAAGCTGGCTGAATCACGACATTTTCAAGGATGAGGCATCAGGACTGAACCTCTGCAGGTCTGAGCACCCCATCCCAGCTGGCTCACGCTGCCAGGCTCAGAGAGCACAGGGTCCCCAGCGCGGCACCGATCACCCATTCCCCTCACGGGTGCTGGCGTTGGCAGCTCCGCCTGCTCTCCCTGCCCTGGCACAGGCTGTCTCAATGGAGATGCTTGTCCTGCGCCAGGCCTACACACGCACACCCAGCCATCCCCGAGCCCACTCGGACCTGCGGGGACACAGATTCAGCATTGTCTCAAGCTTGGGGACAGAGCAGAGAAAAGAAACGCCCTGGAGTTTTCCTGGAAGAAGCTAGGCAGCTCTCTGCGAGTGACTGAATGTGCTGGGAGCAGCTGTTAATTTGTGTCCGGCTTTCCTGGCTGCTCGGGCGTGTGGCACGGCAGGAGACAGCTTGGCTTGTCCCCTCCCGCCACGAAGAGGCAGTTAGCACATCACTCGGGCTAACGAAAAGCAACTCTGATCATCCACAAGATTCAAGAGCAGGGGAGGTGCTACCTTCCCCAAAGATTTGTAGTTACTCAGGAGCCTGTCCTCCCGCCTCCCTCTCCACGCACATCTTGAGGTGGGCCAGGACGGAGCAAATCTTCAAAAAAAAGGGAGGCCATTAACCAGGAGGCACCTTCACATCGCCGCAAGGCCGGCAGAGGAGAGCAGGGTCAAGACCAGGACCAGTACCCCGGACTGGTTGACCTGGGGAATCTTGAACCCCTTCCCCATGTCCCATGCCTGCAGGAGAGAAGAGACACAGCAGGGTTAATTCAACAGGGCTGATGGGGGATGTGCTGGCCGCAGGCAGAAAGGCACCTCTTTCTGATAAACGCTAGCAAGACCACCCTGAAATGGCCTTTGGACCATTGGGTACAAACTGGAGGAGGGCTACGGGCGTCCATCACTTCAGGGCAACAGAGAGGGGTCTCCCTGGGTGCAGGCACACATGCTCTGTGCCAGATGACGCTTATCCCTCACCAAGCCCCCCCATCTATTGGCAAAGCTGCCCGTGAGCTCTCCCTTCTCCCCAACAGCCGCAGCGCACCAGGGAGCCGCAGCCCCCCGCGCATCAGCGTACACCCCAGGGTACGGTGCAGGCTGTGGAGGCCAGGATGGTGGGGAGGGACACTGGAACGGCACCCTGGAGCTGGGTGTCCTCAGTTCCCGGGTACTGCAGATCGGTTTGTATCTCTCCCCTGACTTGAGCCAATCCCCTCCCAGCCTGCCAGCAAGCCCCCAGGGCTCAAAGCAGAGAAGCACCTAGGGCAGGAGGCACTAAACTGAACCTGCTCCCTGTTGATTCCCCTTTTGTCATTGATCGGCTGTGCTGCCCAGCACAGCCAGGGGCCAACACTGCTGGTTTCCTTCTCAGGCAAGTTAATTGGCATCCTAATATATATGTGCAGTCAGGGACTTCAGCACGCATTCAAC